GGGCTTACTTGCCCTGCTTCATCATCAAGGAGCGCTTCTTCTGGGTCTTCTGCATCTGGGTCTCCTCATCACCGTTGGGCTTCCACAGGCCTCGATGAAGCACCTCGGCAGCAGCGTCGTGCACCTTCTCCCAGCCGTGGAAGCGGCCGCGCTGGCTCAGCGTGCCGACGGCGTTCGGGAAGGCATGGTGCACCTGCGCTTGATTTTGTTTGGCACTCAACTCCGAAACTCATACACCGTGGCCGCTTGAGCATGCCTTCTAACATAGCCGAGCCACATCGTGGAAGAGCATCTCGTTCCAGCGGTGCTTCCCGCCCAGCACCATGGCCATGACGTTGTGAAGCACAGGCCAGGTGCGGCCCGGATCCTGTGCCAGGAACTCGTTCCAAGGCAAGCCTGGGCTGTACTATCTTTAGAGTTTAGGGTTTAAGATCCAGGGCTTAAGGGTAACATCGGGAGCATCGTGAAGAGACCAGTTAAAGTACGTTGATAACAAGGAAACCTAAGAAATCATGTTGATAATCATATAGGCTTCCATGTTGGCCACGGATGTTCAAAGAGTTGTAGTATGAGGAATCTGGATTTAAGGTTTAGGCGTTTCGGTCGGCTCTTAACCTAGCACAGCATTTAGTGTTTCGGGCTTACATTGAACCTCTCCAAGACCGAACGGGAAACTCAACATAATCCCAAATTGAAGCCGCCTAGAAGCTGCGAGTGAAGTTGGTGATGAACATCCAGGCCGCGGAGTAGCCGGTGCGAGCGAAGACGGACACAGTGAACATGAACCGCCAGCCCTCGCTCAGAGGACGTCCCAGAGGGTAGGTGCCGAGCAGCCACACACACGCCCACAGCGAGAGCACGAAGGCGTTGTGCTTGACGCGGCGTGGAATCCACTTGCTCCAGAACCTCGGCGTGAAGAGACTCTACAATTACGTGGAAGCCAGAAACATGTTCCGTGCACCGCCGCCATGTGTTCGCTATTCTCAAAGCTATCATGTCGAGTACCAAAGAAAACTAGTCAGTCAAGCCGGGAAGCTCCTTGTTGCACTTGCCACCTGCACCCTCGTCGGGGAAGTGCATCCACCACTCCAAGGCAAACAGAGAGCCGGTATCGTTCAGTCCAAAGAAGTGTATCACAGGGATGAATGGGACGGTGAGCAGGTACTTGTACCAGTTGGAGCTCCATGGTCCGGCCCACTGCTGGAGGGCGTAATGGAACTCCTCAGGGTCCCAGCCGAACTCGCCCTGGATCAGCAAGTCCACAGTTGAGGCGTGATGCCTGTTGTGCTCCAGCACGAATTCCTCCCACGGAAGGGAGAAAAAGTCGGCAAACGGATGCGTCAAGAAGCGCTGCCACTCGTAAACCGGGAAAGTGGCACCATGCATCATATCGTGATCAATGTAGATGTTCTGGATGGCGATGTACGAAAACGGGAGCCCGAAGCAGAGCGTGCA